CTTTGCAACATTCACAACAACTAAAAGAAAAAAAAAAAAAGAGTTAACTCCTTCTTAGTCGGTGCTTCTCTACACAGTTTTGCCTGAAATTTTTACCCAGTGGCAATGTGAGTTGAACAAGCATCACCATGGTGATTGAAAGAGGCATTTCTGGGCATGTAGTTCTTCCGACTGACTGAAGGTGGCAGTAGAGTCAGGTCCGGTTTACATGATCTGAGTGTTAGGGAAGACGGTGGACGTTTCTGGCTTACACCAATCATGTTAGCTTTAAATCCAAGGTGAAAATAGAAAAAGTAAAGGCTGATTCTTCAGCCTCCCCACCTCCAACCCCGATTTATTTTCTTTTCTTGCTTAGTCAAATAATTTTAATCAAGTTAGTGATATGCAATAAAAGTGTATTTACAAGGGTCAGCAGGTGGTGCCATGGTTAAGGCTCTGGACTCCCACATGGCCAATCACAGTTCGAGTCTCGGACCTAGTGGCCTGCTTTCTCACTTTCGCTTTCTCTCTCTCTCTCTCTGGTCAAATTTTTAAAAATAATACTAAATAAAATAATTATTTTTAAAAAGTATAGTTACATGAAAAGCCCCATATCTTACATGTTTAAACTATTTCCCATTTATTTTACTTCAAATGTGTCAAAGGTGGGACCCACTCCTGAACCTTGTCTTCCTAGTGGTAGGACAAGGTACATATTGTTCTGAAGTAAATTCACTGAATTTATGGTCCGTCCAGATGCATTTATGAGCAGTAGGTGGTTTTGTTGGAGGAACATAAGTCCTAAAGTGAAGTCATCCATGACATTCAGGAGGCACCTTACTTCCATCCACATCCTAGGATGTGTGTGTGTGTGTGTGTGTGTGTGTGTGTGTGTGTGTTTTCAAAGAGATTTTTTTCCCTGGGACCAGCAGTTGGTGTAATGGCTATGTTGCTGGACTCCCATGTAATCAACTGCTGTTCAAGTCCCGGATCCAGTGGCTTAAACTCATGCCGGGCATGTGTGCATGTGTGCCCAAGATCTTGAGAAGAGAATGGAGGAGAAGGGATTGCAGCGTGGCCATCCCCCCTGGGGGTTGATTTCTCACTTTTTGTGTCTCTGTCTCTCTCTGTCTTTCTGGTGAGTGCATGTGCCCTATAGTGAACACCTCTCCAAAAAAATAAAAAGAGATTTTTCCCATGGGGCATGTGTGCTCACCAGAGAGACAGAGAGACGGAAAGCAAGAAATCACCTCCCAGGGGGGATGGCCACACCACAATCCCTTCTCTTCCATTCTCCTCTTGGAATTTTGAGCACACATACACACACACCTGATGTGTTTCAAGCCGCCTATTCCAGGATTCGAACCACAGTCTACTATGTGGGAGTCCAACAATATAACCATTACGCCAACTGCTGGTCCCTCCAGAATATGTTTTTTCCATTCATTTCAGTAGTATATATGACAGCCAAAAATTGCTTGTTATCTTTATAGTATTTGTTTCCATATTTATCTCCTCCCACTAATGTACCAACCTTCACATCATTTGCCCTGAAAAAAATTTTTAGGTAGCCATGGAGGCCTCCATTGTCATGGACCTGCTGCACTCCCCACTTCAGGGCCATCTTGCTCAAACCCCCATTTCTTTTTCTTCCTTTCTTGTCTTTTTTTTTTTTCTTTTTCTTTTTTCTTTTAGGTTTTTGCCATAGGGTGCATTCACTTGCCAGACACGAGAGAGACAAAGAGAGAGAAAGTGAGAAATCACTCCCAGAGGGGATGGCCATGCCACAATCTGTTCTCCTCTACGATCCTCGTGGATTTTGGGCATGCATGCACTGGGTGTGAGCTTCAAGCCACCAGATCCAGGACTTGAACCATGGTTAGTCATGTGGGAATCCAGCCGCCTAAACCACCACGCCATCTGCTGGCTCCCAAACCCCTATTTCTAGTGTAGTCTTGGTTGATCCAGGGTTTCAGTATATGAGGGGGACTAGGAAAAGTTCTTGGAAAAATGGAAACAAAAAAACAAACAAAAAAAAACCATGAGTTTATTTTGGTGCAAAAAAAAAAAAAAGATGTATATACTTTTTTCATAATATGCATTTTCCATGAGGTTTTGAAAACCCCCTTAATATGTTGCCTGTGAAGACTTACCTTTAAACCTGTTGAGAAAGACCCTGTGATCCTGGAGACCACATTTTTTTCCAAGTGAAAACTAGAGACATGTGGTATAATGAATCCATTTGCCTCAAAAAAAAAAATCCAGGACAGGCGGTCCCCATACTTTCAATGTCAGGGGATTAAGAATTTATAAACAGTTTCCACTCTGTATGCAAAGGACAGGTTCCTTTGCAGAGGCATGATTTGTGTTGTTTTTCTGGGATGCAGAGGAAGGAGGAGGCTGGCTGTCCCTGTCTGACTCAGGCTCAAGAGGCTGTTTTCTATGTGAATCCCAAGTCCTTCTTCATGGTTGAGCACAGAGCCATCTGAGCTGTCCTGAGTCACTGGGAATATCAATGGATAGAAACGAACTTTGTGCATCGTCCCTGCCTGGGTCACCCCCTAGGGTGAGTTAAGTCTTGGCTGTCAGAAACCGCTCCTGTGCCAGGAGTCCTAAGCCATATTTATTTTTACCAGGCCTCTCAGACTTTCTTGTTTGGAGTGAGAGATCCTGAAAACCATGCCAGAATGGGCTGTTTGTCTCCCTTTTATTGTCCTCTGGGACATGCCCCCTGAAAAGTTGTAGGGGACTGCCAATTTCAGAGGGGTCTCAGAGGCGTTGGTTTCCTCAGAAACACCCCCCCTTTCCTTCATCCTTCTAGGACAGTGCAGGCAGCCGAATTTCCAAGATCAGAATATGGCTTTGAATTAAGCCATCACTAGTGGCCCTGTCAGAGAACACGCAGGGGGCATTACAGAAACAAGGCAGACACGACCACTCTTTTTATCTGACCAGGTTGTAGAATTCTCTGATAACCTAGGCATCACCCAAAGACCTGAATTTCTAAATATGATTCTTCTAAAAGAGCAAAAGGCCTGAAGTTTCACACCTTAAAGCACTGGTCCTCAACCAGGGATGATTTTGCAGGTAGAGGACAATACCTGGGGATGTTTTTTTGGGAGGGAGTGCAACTAGCATCTAACAGGTAGAGGCCAAGGATGCTGCCTCACATCCTAGAATGAGCAGGACTTGCCCCCAGGCCGAAGAGTTGTCCTGCTCAAAATGTTAATGATGCCAAAGTCGAGAAACTCTGCTTTAGAAGACTGAGAACATGAATCTGCAAAGAACTGCTCCATCACCTCTCTGGCTTTGCTTTCTTGCTGAAGGCAATATTAATGGTCAGAAGGAGTGTTTAAAACTTTAGAAGGGGGTGGGGGGACACTAGCAGACGGCGTAATGGTTACATAGCTGGGCTCCCACATGGCCCACTGCTGTTTGAGTCCTGGACCTGGAAACTTGAAACTAAATTATGCCAGGCACATTCTGAGTACTGGACCTGGTGGCTTGAAAATCACACTGGGTCCATGTGCGTGCATGCCCAAAATCTCAAGAGTGAAATGGAGGAGAAGGGATTGCACAGTGACCATCCCTCCCCGCCCACCCCAGGGTGATTTTTCACTTTCTGTCAGAAACCTGAAGAAGAAGGAGGAGGAGGAGGGGGAGGATGAGGAGGAGGAGGAGGAGGAGGAGAAAAAGCAGAAAACTTTTGGGGCCAGATGTGGTGGTTAAGGTGCTGGACTCTCAGATGACTCACCGCGGTTCAAGTCCCAGACCTAGTGGCTTGCTTTCTCACTTCCCCCCTTCTCTCTGTCTCTCTCTGGTGAGCACATGTACTATATAGCGAATTAAAAAATAATAATGATAGGGGCTGGCAGGTGGTGTGGTAGTTAAGGCGGCTGGACTCCCATGTGGCTGACCACGGTTCAAGTCCCAGATGTAGCAGCTTGCTTTCTCACCTTCCTTCTCTGTCTCCGTCTCTTTCTGGTCAACTTCAAAAAATAAGTAAATAAATAAAATAATGACAATGAATAAAATTAAATAAAAATAAAATAATTATTTAAAATGATAATAAATGAAATTAAAAAAAATTTTTGAGAGGTTTTTGCTATAGGGTGCATGTGCTCACCAGACAGACAGAGAGAGACAGACAGGGGGAAGTGAGAAAGCAATCCCTTTCATCCCCTGCAATCCCTTCTCCTCCATTCTCCTCTTGGGATCTTGGGCACACATGCACATGCGCCCAGCGTGAGTTTTAAGTCACCGGGTCCGGGACGTGAACCGCAGTCGACTACATGGGAGTTCAGTGATATAGCCATTATGCTAACTGCTGGTCTCAAATTTTAAAATTGGAAAAAAAAAAAAAAAAAAACTTTTGAAAGGAGGAGGCCGGCAGGTGGCATGGGGGGTTAAGGCTCTGGACTCACACATGACTGACCATGGTTTGAATCCTGAACCCTACAACTTGAAAATTATGCCGAGTGCATGTCCATGTGTGTCTGAGATCCCAGGAAGAGAATGGAGAAGGGACTGCAGTGTGGCCATCCACCTTGTGATGATTTCTAACTTTCCCTCTCATTGTCTCTCTGGTGAGCACACACAGGCAATGGCAAAAACCTAAAGGGAAAACAAGAAGGGAAAACGAGAAAAACTGGCTAACAGATCTAAGAGAGTTCTACTCCTATTTGCCTTCGAGAGGCCTATTTTCATCATTCATTGGCTCAGTAACTGTGTATTAAGGGTCTCTACTAATATTATGTGCCAGGCACTGTGGAGGGAGTGGTGAGCAGATATTCTGGGTCCCTGGAACTTAACAGTCTGGCGGTTGTGGGGGCTGCAATTAGTCAGGTACATTAAAAGAACAATCCCACAGATGAATCTAAAGTTACAAATGTTAGAGGAATTGAAGGAAAAGTACAGGGTTCTATGAAAAAAGACACGATGTAGGTTTGGAGGTTCAAGGATGGTCTGTCAGAGGTAAGGGCACTTAAGCTGAGTAAGAGGCGTCAGACTAAAAGTGAGTGGGGAGGGTCTCCCAGAGAGAAGGAGCAGTATGTGGAAAGGCTCTGGGCCAGGAAAGAAGCCACAGGATTATTGAAAAGTATTACTAACATTTAGCAATGGGTATGCTTTTTCTATGTTCATAAAAAAAAAAAAAAACTTTTTGAAAATAATTATTTATTTGTATTTATCATTATTATTGTTTTTAAATTTGCTACAGGGAAGGAATGCTCACCAGAGAAAGACAGAGACAGTGAGAAAGAGAGAGAGAGGGAAAGCAACC